TAGGGAATAGCTATCCAACTGTTGTTTTAGTTGTATTTATTTCACTCCATACTTTAGTATGGAGGGAAATACTGTTTTTACTGATGATTCTCCTCCTTCTTCTTCTCCTCCTGCCATTTCTTTAAATTGATTCAATTCCTTCATTTTTGGGCCAAACGACCTGGAATTTCTTATAAAGGTAGAGTGGTTAAATACCCCTAGGCGTTTTTTATTTTTTTTGATACAAGCTTTTACAATCGTTTTATTTGCGTTTTTAGCTGTTCCCATAGGAAAGTACTGTGGGGCGTACGCGCGTGACGTAATAAGAAAGGAATTCGGGGGCGGGCCCAAATATGGGCATATGCAAGCATGCAACAGGTGTGGCCATTTTTGTAGATCTGGCTGTTGATTGGCTGATGGCTAATTGATTTATTTTCTACCACCTACGCCTGATAGGCACATTCTTATGTTTGTTTACAAGTTTGGCCAGCGAAAAGGAGTGTTGTAAAAGCGGTGGAAACAATATCTAGCTACAGCTACAGGGCTTTTTTCATCCAGCTAGCCAATTTCTCCCATGAAAAGACCCTGTGTTAATATGCATATTTTATGCCCGCTACGGCGAAACTGCTATCAACAATACAACAAAAGGTTCGGGTTACATTCCAGCGGCGATACCCGCCAAATAGGCAGGTAAGACATAACTGTTACATTTACATTTAGACATTTTTGCCCTCATTTTACTGGCCAAACTTAGTATTTTGCCGCAATACGTCGTAGTTTTGTATTTATGGGTTCACCACACCACGAAGTGGTGGTGAACCCATATTGCTTTTTCTGATGTTTCTTCTCCTCCTCCTCCTGCCACTTCTTTAAATTGATTCAACTCCTTCATTTTTGGGCGAAATTACCTGTAATTTCGTATAGAGGTAGAGTGGGTAAATACCCTTAGGAGTTTTTTTTAATTTTTTTGATACAAGCTTTTACAATCGTTTTATTTGCTTTTTAGTGGTCCCCATAGGAAAGTACTGTGGGGGCGTACGCGCGTGACGTAATAAGAAAGGAATTCGGGGGAAGGCCCAAATATGGGCATACAAGCAGGTGTGGTCATGTTTGCAGATGTGGCTGTTGATTGGCTGTTGGCTAATTAATTTATTTACTACCATTTTCACGTACCAGCGCAGCTGGTCCACGCGGTCTC